GGGAGCCTACTTCATCGCATTCAAAAAGTGTTAAATTTCGCTGCTCGCATTGTAACAGGCTGCAAGAAACGTCAGCATGTAACGTCTGCACTTCTGTCACTGGGATGGCCTAAGATAGAGTCCATGGTGGCCTACCGCGACGCAGTAAAAACATATAATGCGTTAAATTCGGAGGGAGTGCCAGCCGATGTACGAAATATGTTTGTCACGCGCGAAACCGTGTCTAGTCGAGAAACCCGAGGGTCTGTGGAGTGTAGCCTGCAGTTACCGCGACGCAGATTGACGGTGACACAGAAACACTTTTCATACCGAGCGGCGGCGGCATGGAACCGGCTCGCACCAGCAGCGCGAACCGCGACGTCGATGGCAGCTTTTAAAGCTATCATTAGAAGTGCCTGATGTATTTTATCGAGTGTGCTCTGATGTATATGTCAGTTTTAATTCGTTCTTAATTTACTTTGTATGCTTTTACTTGTCTATTACTCGCTTATCTTTGTATACCCATTGTACTGACGCTAAACCGTAAAAGCCACCTTGTGGAAGGTTTAAATACACTGATATATTATGATATATTATTATATATTATGCAGAGTCCACCCCCACCCCTCCCGGCAGAGTCCAGTTTCGGCCGGTCGTGGTTGGCGTCAGGCCCCCAGGGTATGCTCGGGTGCGGGTCAGGGGTCACACTAGAGCGAGCACGGCGTACACGGAACGGCAGCGGCGTAATTCGGTGGACGGCACACTCCGAACTCCGTTACGCCACCGGCGATTACAATCAGTGGCTCCCAGTCCAATTGGATTAGCGGCGTTTCCCAATGATTTTGTGAACGCACTGCTTGGTTGTGCTCGCTGTGAGTCAGCTGATGATCGTGACGTCATAATTGGTGCTCCCATCGTGTTCGTCTCTGCGAAAGATTTGAGCGATCAGCACGAGCGGTCAGCAGAGGTCAGGCTCATGAGACCAATGATGTAGAGAATTGAAGGGCAGCCAAAGGTCCGGTTAGAGGACCATTGGCAATGGTGGTCAATGGAGACAATCTCGAATAGGACGCCCGACAATCTACGCTATCATCTGGTATCAACCAATGCTGCTGTTGTGCTGCTGGGTTAGGAGATAAATCTAGCTGCACTGGCTGGTGCATCGTGATTCCATTCTGGTAAGGGGTATCAGAAGGCTGGGAGACGTGTGTCCCGATCCGTATTTGCAGAGACGGGCAGAAAATTCAAACCCAAGAGAGAGAGAGAGAGAGAGAGAGAGAGAGAGAGAGAGAGAGAGAGAGAGAGAGAGAGAGAGAGAGAGAGAGAGAGAGAGAGAGAGAGAGAGAGAGAGAGAGAGAGAGAGAGAGAGAGAGAGAGAGAGAGAGAGAGAGAGAGAGAGAGAGAGAGAGAGAGAGAGAGAGAGAGAGAGAGAGAGAGAGAGAGAGAGAGAGAGAGAGAGAGAGAGAGAGAGAGAGAGAGAGAGAGAGAGAGAGAGAGAGAGAGAGAGAGAGAGAGAGGAGAGAGAGAGAGAGAGAGAGAGAGAGAGAGAGAGAGGAGAGAGAGAGAGAGAGAGAGAGAGAGAGAGAGAGAGAGAGAGAGAGAGAGGAGAGAGAGAGAGAGAGAGAGAGAGAGAGAGAGAGAGAGAGAGAGAGAGAGAGAGAGAGAGAGAGAGAGAGAGAGAGAGAGAGAGAGAGAGAGAGAGAGAGAGAGAGAGAGAGAGAGAGAGAGAGAGAGGAGAGAGAGAGAGAGAGAGAGAGAGAGAGAGAGAGAGAGAGAGAGAGAGAGAGAGAGAGAGAGAGAGAGAGAGAGAGAGAGAGAGAGAGAGAGAGAGAGAGGAGAGAGAGAGAGAGAGAGAGAGAGAGAGAGAGAGAGAGAGAGAGAGAGAGAGAGAGAGAGAGAGAGAGAGAGAGGAGAGAGAGAGAGAGAGAGAGAGAGAGAGAGAGAGAGAGAGAGAGAGAGAGGAGAGAGAGAGAGAGAGAGAGAGAGAGAGAGAGAGAGAGAGAGAGAGAGAGAGAGAGAGAGAGAGAGAGAGAGAGAGAGAGAGAGAGAGAGAGAGAGTCAGAAACATGGTGCAATTTACTGCAAAACATGAATGTACCTAAATCGCAAAGAGTGAGAACTGAGAACACAGCTGCTAAACACTTGTACCTTCAGGCAGTGCATCATCATGCATCGTGTGGCGCTGTCGTTCTGTCGTCGTAGTCATCATTTCACAACTGCAACAGTAGCAAAATATTCGATACAGTCATTGTTAACAGCGTGAGTTGAAAAGCCTGCATTTGATGTGTGTATTTTGAAGATTTTCCACTGGAATGTTCAAACAAACATGTGCTGAATAATGTCAATAGGCATGACGTGTTGAGAGAATGCTTCATGTCCTCCCGCTCTTTTTTTCTTCCCATCTTCCCTAAACTCCTTGCACTGGCTCCTCACGCGCTTACTGTGTGATGGAAGGCAGCTATTGATACGAACGCATTATAAAGACGCATGCTTTGCCTGTGGACAGCATTTACAAAACGTGACAGCATTTAAAAAAGCGCACCACGTTTCGCACCTCTCCTTGTCCACACGTTCACCAGCAGGAGTCCATCCGTGGACGTATTGTTGACAACTCCACATCACCCACCACCGTTTGATCTCATCCCACCATTCTCGTGAGTTCTGAGCTCGTAAGCTGGCAGACGTCAGACGGCGCTCTAACCAGCCCTTTATCCCAGGAGTTCCCGGTGCCACCCCTCCTTTGAGCCGGCACATCGGAGGTGCCGGGCGGGAGCAGGTGCGAACGGTGTGCCGTTCCCCGCGGCGGCGGCTGGGTGAAACCGTCCACAGCTGTTACCGTGCAGATGCAGACACTTGTGCTCGCCAGTCACCACACCTACCGCTACGCCCGCTCTGTCCACGGCTGAGCAAAACAATCTGTTACCAATTAGTGGTGTCAAATACGGTAAATTCGGAAACCGATACCAAACCAAATACCAACCGAAACAATAGGAAAATACCGAAAACCAAACCAAATTTTAAAACTGATAGAAATACCAACTTTTTACCAAATTCGGAGCATCTTATACATTAGTGAAGCTTACTTATACCAACAAAATACCAAATGCATAAGGTTTGAAATACCTAATACCAACTTGGTATCGGTTTGGTATCGGTATACCAAAAAGTTGGTATCCGATTGACATCACTATTACCAATGGTTCAATGCAAATTGGCCTCCAACCATTATGCCTTTGTGAATTCTGATTTTTTTCAAATGTTTTATCGAGATATGTCGGGAACATCACCGTTATAACACATCTCCCCTCGTCAACATATTCTGCTAAAGAAACAGCAAACTCATTTGCAGCGAGAAATAATCACGCCGGTGCATCGTTAGCGAAGCTGGCATCGGCCTGCACGGTTCGACGGTTCCAGACGAAAGACCCTCGACGTAGCCAGCTGAGGCCGGTGCGACCACCAAAATACACCGGGCAACGGCGCGGCGCAGTGAGCTCCCTGATCCCTAGACCGTATTTATCGAGGGAATACTCGATAGTGTTTTGGTTAAAACGGTGATATCACGAGGGATTATTGCTTGGCATTGGCATGCGCTGTTGTGGAAGTACTGAGAAACGACAGCCTGTTTATTTCATTTTCACTTTTCGAAATTGGCAAATGAAAAGCCCTGCATGCAGCAATCAGGCGATATATTGCACTGGAATGGTGCAATAATTCGTACTGATCTAAGCAACAAGATGTTTTTTCACATCCTTCCCTCATCGTTTACGGTCCGCTCCGCCCTTTTCTTACATAAACATTGCGCGTATATACGAGTGTGCTGCCTTGCTGGACGGAGCGCTTGGTACCAGTTTCCTGGCTCGTGGTGTATCAGTCATGTGCCGTTTTGGCTCCACAATCTACATGTTCTCAGCACTCATAGCAAATCGTGAGACCGTCTGGACGGTCGGCGACCATGGATAGACGGACTGAGGGACACGTGGCTCGCATAGGACGACGAAAACGGTCGCCTCACCTTGTGTCGGTGCCTATTTTCTTTATAACAAAAATTGCAGATTCTGCCGGCTACCATTCGGTTCGTTTCGGTTCTCCCTTGCGTTTATTAGCCGTTCTTTAGAGCAAAGAGTGGCATGGTTTCACGGCAAAATTCTTTTAGGTACTTTATTAATTTCATGTCGAAAAGTGTTCTAATGAGACAATGCCATCCCTTGGAACAACCACATTTAACGCTGATGTCAACTTTTATCATTCGGTGATTGACTTCACCACTGTGTCTGGAAGGCTTCAGCCGTCCTCCACAAACACAAACACGACCCATCCCCTGTTGGTGCTGTTTGTTGTTTGTTGCGTCGCCTTGACGCCTCCGTCGCTGCCGCTGCCGGCTATGACAGACATGGATTGTGCTCACCGTGGGTTGTTGCAGCGTGCCGCGAATATCTAACGAGCGACCTACCGCAGCGCCGCCGTGAGGCACCGGACATGCGAAGCCTATCCGAGCCTTTAGGAACCTTCTTCAATGCACGCGATGACGATGACAGGTTTTGTTGCCTACAGTGCAAGTTAAGCGCTTTAGCCAGCTGTTGGAGTGAGTGATGATCAGGCAAGTTTGGGGGATATTGTCGGAGTCATTCCGACACCATCATCAGACTCTATGATTCCTGTCTACTTTCGGATCCAATTGCTATTCGAAAGTAGTGATAATTGAATTTCGATATAAGACCAATTGAACTAGTGGTGTTGGCTGGACGGAACAACCACGTCCGTCGCACAATCATTCGTGGGCCAGCATATTCTTGCATACTCAATGCATAGCACGTCACCAGATCCCACCGCGCCGACTCGCGTTCCGCTGGACCCCGTGTGTTCAACGAGAACCTTCCGTCCACCCGGCGAGCTCCAGTGTCATCCGCCTCGGGTCAGATCTGACCACAGACCCGCCCTGCCCGGCGACCCCTCCCCCTGAACAGCCCCACGGTCCACTGGGCCCGCCTCCGCTCCGGCGCCGCCTCGTCGTCACCGACAGCGAGCGCTCTTGTACGCCCGCTCGGCGGCGGCCGGTCAGTGTCGCGCGCGCCTCCGTCCGAGTCAGACCGCTCCCGACCGCTGCCCGCCGTCCGTCGTCATGGCCTGGTCGACAGTCGAGGAGGCCCTCGGCCTGAAGGAGATGGTCCGTAACCGGGACCTGTGGAAGGCGCTGCTGGCTGAGTTCCTCGGTACGATGCTGCTGACGCTCATCGGCTGCTTCAGCACCATCGGCTGGGCGGAGGGAGATGCCAAGGATCCCTACATGCCGTCTATGGTGCAGATCGCGCTGGCGTTCGGTATCACCGTGGCTACACTGGCCCAGGTGAGGTGGCGGAGACGGGATGCTGGGGAGGTCGGACAGGTGCTTGTGGTTTTTGGTTTAGTGGAGGGTTTGTCTGGGAGGCCATGGTTTAGTCTGTCCATCACCGCCTGGTTGGTTCACCGCTTTCATTGGCTTTTGATTTGGATTTGATTTGGATTGACCTGCGGTTTGATAGAAATCTGGATGCATTGCTCTTCGAACTTTCAGCTTTCTTTGTTCATTAAGGTTTTTTTCTTAATTTAGCAATAAGTAACTATTTTGCGCTCATGGGTTAACGTCGTAGGAACTCAAACATTAAACGTCTTGGTATATGCTGATCTGTATTTTTACGGGCAAGCAAAATTATGAAGACGTGACGGTCCACCATATTTTTTCCGTTCATTCAAAAACTTCTTTTGTATGGTAGTTAACCTTTTTATTAGGATGGCGAGAAAATGGGGTGTGAGCCTGGTGATCATGTGCTGCGCAGTTGCGAGCGTAATTTTCATGCTTCTCCTTATTCTAGTAACACGATTGCTTTCACTTAGTTTCTCCAGCTTTCTGCAGGTTGCCAGCTTTGAATTATATGTTGATGGCGATAGGTTTTGCAAGCGAAATGCAAGCGATATATGTGCATACTGGAATGGACCGGTTTAATGAATAAGCCAACTACCCTTCCTCGTACATCACGGTGTGAAAGATGTGGTAATGTACTTTAAACCATCATAACAATTAAAACCGCTTTTTATAAACATAAGCTTTGTGTCCTTCCGCCGGTATTCCGAGGCGTCTCTTGTTATGTCCAATTTGCTCTCTTCCCCTTCCTTTACACCGCCGGCTGTCAGCGGATACATTCGGTGACGAGAGACACATGCTAGAAATCTAACCAGCTGCCCCGTTCCCTGTCCCTTCGCCCATGCCTGGCACTCGTCTTCTCCAAGGAAATTATATGTATGTATACGCCCGCGGAGCGTGCCGCGGCGTTCTTTCAACTAACAGCAATTGGCAAATAGCCTCGTGACCCCGGGGTTCATCTCAAACCATAATTGCCAACCTTCGGTGACATTTTTCGCAATTCTTATTTCGTTGCATAAACCAAATGCTTAATCATTTGCGCTGAGTGACATCTGACTCAGGCAGAACATAAAACTTCACTCAGTCAGAATCAATCAGAATTGGTCTAGCATCCCCATCTAAGGAATCCCGCACCACACCGCTCGCGGCGCCGGTGCATTTGTCCGGGTCAGGTGACCTTTTCCGGTCCGTCAGACAGTGTCGATGTGTGACATGTGACCGTCGGGCCCCTGCCGCTGATAGGCGCTGGTCAGAGGGCGAGTGTCACTCTGTGTGAGGGCCAGTGATGGGTATCACAAGGGAGGGGTCAGGGATGGGTCTGAAAAGCAGGTGTGAGATGTGCTGAGAGTAAGCACCGTCCGCGGCCGCCCAGATGTGGCCCGGCGACATGAATTATTCGAGTCCCTGAAATCGCATGTGTCGGTTGACATCAGAATTTGTATCCATTCAATTGATTGTTGGCAGGAATTTTCGATGATCGTGCCTCTCAAGTTGCGGTAATGCAGTGCAGCTCTCCCAGCGCATGTGTTAACTCCGAGAAGTGATGCTGCGAGTTGCGACACAAGTTTTAATTGCACTTTGATTAAGTTGTGTTATTTTTTCTTTTACCATGCAATGCGAACACGCGGCCACCTCTAGTGACCACGTGACCAGTCTGACCCACGTGACCCCGTACGAACCCACGTTTCCTTTGAATCAATGGCGACCCTGATATACCTACGGGCTAGCATTTTACTGCGTCGGCCGTGTCCGGATTTTTTCTGTTGGGTTTATCAGAGTGGTCACCATATCTGTCTCTGATTCAGGACAAGTGACCCAGCGGGATGAGATAGCTGAAACAGAAACCTTAGCAGGAGCCTGTGGGACAACTATCGTTTGCTTGTTGATGGGACTGCCCCGCAATATCAAAATGCGGTTACAAACCTATCGGCAGTATGTCGATAACGTAGCCATTGCCAGGCCGTAAAGATAATTCGGGCCATTTATGAATCCTTTAATTACATACGATGCCTGACTACGTGTTTGCAGATGTTGCAAAGGTATGTTGTGAACTGGTATACATACGCAGTATCATGGGACCCGGGTTAGCAATATCGATAGTCACGCTTCAAATTCTTGTTTCGCCACCGAGCAGCACTGCCGTTCCTTTAATAAGAAACATATCACAACATGTCAGTTTTGCAACGAAAAGTTTATAATTGCATATCTCCTCCCCTGTGTATAAATACTGATTCAGCACTGAGTCAGCTTAATTGGGTTAGGATGATGTCCTCGGTCTAAATGTTGATCATATACTTTCGTAGGAGGTATATATCCTAAGCGCCTAGGTAGTTAACCACCATCATGTTGCAAGTATCACCGGTTACGGCACTTCTCAGCTGTCACAGTCGAGCCATTGGCAGTGCAGATGGCAGTAAAATTAAATTGCTGCAAAATATTGGGTTGCTAATGAGTTGCAATACATAGGTTATAGATTTAGCGTAAACAGTGCGTTTTTATTATAAAAAGGCAAATTTTTGTCCTCGGTGAGTCCAAGCAATCACTTCTTGCTGACAATCACCGAGTCTCAACGGTCACCACAGTGTCATTTTTATGTGCTTCCTAGTTTCCTACGTATTTTGGGTAGGTACAGCTTTGTAGTTTTCAGTAGTTGATTGTATCAATCTTAGTAGCTCACATGTAACTATGCCTATAGGGAAACGTATAACATTTTGCGCCTTAATTTCACATCATCTCTCAAAAGGACTTAAGTGGAAGTAGGCTGCAGCTTTCAAGCTTTATTTCTGTGTATAAAGAAGGCCGTCTTACCTTTAAATAATTTCCATGTCGTCTCTGCGCCGCTGGCCTCATTAGCTACCCGGCACCTTTACACTGACATCATGACCGTGACTGCAAGTGCAGATGCGAGTCATCAGTCTCTGCGCGGTGATGATGTGGGCAATGTTTACTGGTGAACGCTGATGACCCGCCGGGGCCCCGACATTACCCCCCCCCCTCCCCCGGTGGTGAGAGAGCGTTTATACGGGGCTTTTAGGCTACTGACCACACGGTCAAATCACTAGTGTGCTGACCGTGGGTCGTGTGTCGCACAGCGAACAGGAATGCGCTGTGGACTAGTCGCTTAGGGTGCAGTTGATTGATTTACATGTTCCTCGAGAGATGTTACATTGGGTCTGTTCCAGTCGCACTTCCTAGCACCTCTAAACTCCTCCAAGAGCAAGATAGAGGATGTTGGAGCAGGGCCTTCCTTGGGTTTGTAGGGGCTCGAGCTGCCACTGGAACAGGGAAGCAATCTTGGAGGAGTTTAGAGGTGTTAGGAAGTGCGACTGGAACAGACCCATTGTCGCAGTGAGTTGACCCGCACAGTCAGGTGATAGCGACAGTCGGTTGACACCTGCGGCCCGTACTTGATTTATTCGAGTGGCAGCTGCCTAGCGCAAGCGCCGATCAGGGGCTTCTACGTTAGGTATAGCAAAACATCCTATTCAGTACAACAGCCTAGAGCTTACAGGAATTCTGTGTTTCATGTTCTTCGATCAGCCAAATACTAAGGACACTACAGCGTGGAATGATGGAATCCTTCATTCCAGCCAAATACAAGTACTACAGCCTGAGCTACCTCCATTCGGACCTTGGCAGTCACGTGAAAACCGACCACATGACAGCTCAGTTTGTGATTCATTTTTGGGAGCACCCCTCTGATAACGACAGATTCCACTTTATCGATAGCGTCTGTTAGAGGCATACGAACAATGGCGGTTTTGTCTCAGTCGCTGCTGAGTGATTCTCGCTCAGCAAAGGACACCGTTTCGCACGGCTTTTTTAAATAATATAATATCTTAGCATTTTTTAAGGAATCCACATAAACACAAACGGCTTATTTCTGCAAGATGAATGTAATTTTTTATGTTTTTCCCTTCTGACCGAGAACTAAGCTGAATATTATTTAATGAATAGCATTTGATTCCTTTACAAATCTCTGAACGGATTGTCAACTTCAGCACATTGGAACGTAACGTCGATAGTCACCATGTGTTTATTTGAATTTGGTTTTCCAGACACTGTTGTGTCCGCAGTCTTCACACTTCCCATAGTTTTCCAAACATTTACCCGAAAAAATAGTGTGTGTGGCTGGTGATTATTTTTGTTTCTAGTGATAATTTCCTCTTGTCCCTAATTCACTTTGCCTCTTGTCCCCATTTTCATATACTTCCAACCATATGACATGTCGCATCTTCTGCCAAATCTCTTACATTCTCATCTCTAAATATTCATGTATCCACCAGCACCATCTACCTTCTCGTTACGCGCTCACTGCGACCATTAACCTGCCCCATTACGCTCCCTATCACGTGACCTCATTGGTCGCACTGCCTCCGTATCATGTGACCCGTTAGAGAGGCCCCGACACCGCCGGCTCCTGTCTTGGTGTGTGCGTGAAGTTCTCTTCCTGGTCCGGGGGCGGTGGAGGACTACTGACCGAAAGACAGGCTTCTTATGTATGCGTACGGTGTCTGGAACAACAATGCCTCCCCTCAGCCACGCCGCCGCCGCCGCCTCCTCTCGAGGTCGAGCCTTATATGTGATCGGACCGCCATTATTGGCGCCTCTGAACTTGACCTAGGACACGGGTCTCGGCTACTGATCAGTTGATTAGTGGCTTTTTAATTCGGAGAACCTGGCGCCCCTCCCATGATACATGGAAGTGGTGCGTAGAATGTCGAATGCCATCCAGAAAAGAAAGGCTTGATGAGGCTATCGGTCGGTTCGATAGATCACCTGAAGTTCTTATTGTTTCCAAGTAGCACCTGTGTGCCATATTTCGTCCAAGCTCGCAGAAACTAGCGTCTGGCCGGAGCAGCGCTATCGGTTCGGTGGAGGTCAGTCCGATACCCGATCAGATCGGCACAAAGCGACGTTTGAGGGCGCCTTGGAGAGCTGTTCTC